GTTACGGAAAACAACGTTACGGAAAACAACAAAGTAACTACCATGAGATAAACAACAACCGCCCTTAGCAGACTCATTTATGTAAGAAATGGGTCACAAATAGGAGGACCGTGGTCCGGGTCATGAACAGCGGTGTCTCTGTGTTTGTTTGAAGCATCCCCACCATTAATATCATATGGTCTTAACATTAGTATATCTTTGTCATTGAGCTGGCTCGTTCTGATCACCACTCATGTCCTAGGCCTGCTTTCAAACCATGTTTGACTATTGTACTTTCTGTTTTTCTGCATTCCTAATGTAAATTATTGGCCCTTTTATGGTCACGTTGTGTTTTTTATGTTTTTAATCCTGCTCCTGTTAAACACTTTCTGACTAATGTCTGTGAAAAGCGCTTTATAAATACATTTTACTTCTTACTTACTTACAGTTAAAGACAGAAAATTCTAAACTATTTTTGGTTAATCGTGATTGATTTGTCTTGCAGAAGCTCAGTATGAACATGTGTGAATATTCACCCTTAAAACGCTTCTGTGAATGAAACAAACCCTAACCCACTGCAGCCCAGAGCCAACAAACTCAATTAAAACCAAACTACAATATCAAGTCGTCCTTATCACTGATGTGTGTGTGCAGTCGGTGACACTAAGCAGCCTCCATGTGGGTGGCTCGGCTCCCCAGACCCACCGCTCTCCCACGCTCTCCCCCTGAGGGCATGTTGGCTGGAGCCAGTGCAGACCGGGCATGTAGGGGCAGCAGGGAACACTCGGGGTCAGCGGGGAGAGTGTGTGTGTGTGTGTGTGTTTTCTTTTTAAGCTGGGGAGTGGGGAGGAGGGGTGGGAATGATCCACAGATATTATCAGCGCCGTGGGCTACAACTACTCTGGTCATCTGTACTGATTGCTGTGTGTGTGTGTGTGTGTGTGTGTGTGTGTGTGTGTGTGAGAGAGAGCTATGGCAGTTTCACAGCCTCTCTTTTGTAACTTAGATTTTCAGATGGCAGTTCTGGAATGATATATATATTTATAGTGAAAATGTATCATTGTTGGTCATTGATTAAGGTTTCAACAGCAAATACGTTTTAAATCCATCAACAGCCTATAGAGAGAGAATTGTTCCTCCTCTCTGTCAGAACATTCCTTCGTCTCTCTCTTTGCTGCACCAGGTGAGCGATGTCACACCAGCATCATGGTTCTTTCTGTAAATATCCTGTCATGTCCAAAGAGAATATTACCGTAAAGGCCACCTACTGTATGTACGAATGACAGAAAGCCAACAATGAAGCCATGTCACACCGTCTATATATCTGAGATGGACTCTATAGATGCTATTAGTTCTAAGCCAGAAATAACAGAACTTAACTGCCAGCTGCACACATGTTTTCTTTAGATAATGACATGACTGTGAAAGGATCATTACCAATCTGCAAGACATTGACGACGATGAAAAAGAAAAATGAGGGAATTAGAACCCATTTTTCACTCTGGCTCCACCATGTAATATCTCTGATAACATCCTGCTTTTATTTTAGGCTCATCAGTTTATAATTTACAATGACACAAACACACACACACACACACACACACACACTGAGGAGCAAAGTAAACCCAGACCCAAGTGATAAGAGCCCAGGAGACAGGACTAGAGGCTGGGGGGGGACATGTGAGGAGTGGTCTGGGAGAATATTACATTGAACCAAAAACAAAAAGGTCCATTAAAGGGCTGCTGGTCATCAAAATGTTGGACTGCTCCATGTTTAATAAGCAGCAACCTACGGAAGCCCTGAGAGGCAGGTGAGAGAAAACTAAATTCTGCTTAAGTCTGGTCTAAACTGTTTGGAACAGAGTGGACGGTTTTGCCAAGACAGTCTTTCTAAGCTCGTGTGTTTTCATCTGTGAAAATCTGAAGAAATTTGCCCAAGGCGTACAGAGTTAGAAACGACAGACGGACAACCTGAAAACATAATGCCTCCTGGAGAGAAAACTATTTAGATCAGAAAATGTATCACCAGAATCAAAAGTGTTCCAACTTCCACCCCATCGCTCAGAGTGAGAAGGTGATTGAGAACGTTTGATTTCAGGGACTTCAGGAAACCCAAATGACAGCAGAACAGTTTCCTGTCCTATCTTTCTGAGATCTGTTCGAATCCCGTCACTCTTCATCGGAGGAGTCCATAACCAACCTCCACGCAGAGAGTCCACACCAGCAGCTGACTCTTTTAGTGTGCGTCTGGCAGCATCTGTAAAAGAGGAGAACTCTGACTTGAAGGAGTTCAGCCTCCTATAATCCGCTTTGCCTTTGTGAAGTGAGTGACTTTGAAACTCACTATCATGGTCAGCCCCTCCCCCGGCTCACCGCCAGTAGAACAAAAGATGCCGCGCTCTCCGTTTCACCGTCCGTCTCTCTTCAAATCCTCCCTTTTCTTTGTTCTTAAATTATCTTTCATTCTACTCTGTTGGTTTTTTTCTCACTTGGAGCCTGGTGTGCATACACGCACATGGAAATGAAAACTTTTCGTTTCGTGACAGAGATTAGCGTCGAGTGGAGGTCAAACGTAATAGCTTCCATTTAACAAGAAACCAGATATGATTATTCTGCACTTTGCTCTCCGCTCCACTTTTTGTCCTCAATCTAAGCGGCGCTGCTCCGATAGGTCTGCCCTCATTACGCAGCAACAAAAGGACCACACCGCCGCTCCTCCGTGTTTGTCATCCTGAATTTTACATCACAATGACATTCTGAAGACAAACAGAGAAAGACTGAGACGTCTTCTACCCTCCCTGTTTGCTCGTAACAGTGTGCACCAACAATAGTGAGATGGTGTGCTTTTGTTGGCATCAGGTGAACAAATCAGTGAATATCCAGCGTGTACTGTGAGATTACGCAGGACTACAGATGGTTTAGCATGTGTATCTGAACTCTACGGCATCATTGGTTCATCAGCATGTGTAAATACCATAATCTACCTCGGATTACAGCGCAACATGGCCGTCAGACGGATAAAAACACACAACAAGAGTTTCTAAATCGACGTGGCTGTTGTAAAGAGGAATGATTACAGATTACAGAATGTGTGTCGGTCTGCCAGAGGAGAAAGATGATTTTTTTCTTTATTGGTAAATCACATCCTGAACATATTGAGGTCACGTTTGCCTATTATCACATGTTTTTAGGGGATAGTAATCACAAGTGTTCATTTCATGGGCAGATTAGCGCGCCGGGAGGTTTTAATCACTCAGCACAATCAATATACTCTGGTGGCGCTGATGGGGAGAATGGAGTGTATTATTGGAGACCTCGTATGGGAAGCCGAAAGGCTGCTGACCTGCTGCTTGACAGGAAGGATACAAATATAATATCAATTTTAAAAAAGGCTTCCAGCGCTCGACAAGTCTGGGCCTGTAATAAAAGTCTGCCATGTGTTTGTCTCTGTGGTAAATGCTGCAGAACAGCACAATATCATCTGTAGATGAGGATTAGGGCCGGGCATAGGGGAAGAAATGGAAGGACTTTTTTAAGTCAAAATGTCAAGAATAAAGTAGATAAAGAGAAGAAATCATTGTCAAAGTAAAACGAATCTTCCTCCACATGTTTGCCTCTTATGCCTGGCCCTAACACTCTGTAGTCATGCACATAGAGTGACTCACAGCGACCAAACTGCACACATTCCTCTGGTATCAAGAGTTCACCAGAGTCACTGAATGCACCATAAAAGCTTTCTCCACATGACTGTATGGGGAGTTTAACAGAGGATGTCAGTGCTGTGCAGATTGGAAAGCCCTCTAAGCAGAATGTGTTAATTGTGATATTGGGCTAAACAAATCAAATTAGAAAATAGCACGACTTACCGGCTAAAGGAAATACATCGAAGCGCTTCTGCTGAGATGCTGAAGTTTTCAAACTAAACACTACGTCTAAAGGTCACATGGGCTGATGTAACCAGGATGGACAGTAAATTATAGAGACGAGGTGGTGAAGTGGAAACATGTCTGTGTTGGGCTGATCCAACAAATTCCAATACCTGACAACTTCCTCTTCATCACATTAATGGAAAAAATCATTTCACTTATGAATGTGCTGCCCTTGAGCTGCCACAGTATTAAAATGCTGCTTACGTGTTAATGCTTTTTATAAACATCGGAATGAGAACTTTTACTTCACCATGTCTGCATACATCCTTCAACACCCCCCGTCTGCATACAGCATTATGTTTTACGGGCTTTAATGCTTGGATGTAGAGTTTGTATTCCAGCTGGCAGATGTAAAAAGGATGGAATAAAAAAAGTACAACTTACGTAAATACTTAATTTTCACTGCTGCACAGTCCTCACAATATTGTATTGAAATAAATGAAAACTGTTGACGACACAAGATACTTTGTACTATGTGCATCATGTGTTGTTTGTCATTGTCCTGCCTGGGCCCAAGGCTGCCTCTGTGAGTCTATTGGTAATCAGTTGAAACACGGCTTTATTTGCTTCTTAAACCGGTTCCCTCAATAGGATCACACAATTAGGTCACGATGCCGGATCGGCCTTTGTGATTATGCTTCAACCTCCCCGACAAATCTGCAAATAATCAAATGACTAAAAAGAAAAGTTGGAAAGGAGAGGTCACAGGAAAAGACAGCAGAGCTCAAAGAATCTGACTGTACTGACACTATGCAAAGGTGGATTTGTTTAATCAACTTTATTTATAACACTTAGAAAACAACAAACTCCTTCCTGACTCATTCCATCCAAAACAGAGTCAGACCTCCAGTGTCCTTATCTCCTGTCCTTTCACAAAGGACGGTTCAGTGTCTCCTCTGCTAAAGAAGACAAGGCAGGAAGCATGGAAGCACCTTTCCTAAGCCTTTAGAGGATTCCACCAGCTCTTACCACGTCTGACACTTAGATTCCTCCAGATCATTTCACGCAGTTAGGAACCATCCTTTTGACCGCAGCCGTCCTCTCTCTGGAACGAGCGGGACATGCATCTCAATAAAAGCACACCAGACCCCACCGTTTTACCACTTCTCTTCAGTTTATTGTTGGCATATTGGTGTGTTTGTGTTCGTAATGTGTGAGAAAGAAATGTGTGTATACTCCATTCCACTGCATTGTGTACAACACCGCTTGCATTTAGCCATGTTTGAGTTGTTTCTTTATAAATGGACCCTTAAAGTTGGTTACAATGACACAGAATTACCATGGATTTCAATCTAAATTATTATTTCCTTTTTTATTTATAGACATGGTCTTTATCAATATCCAAAAGTGGAAAAAAAATCGTGACATAATGTCAAACAATGAGAACTTGAGTTTAACATCTGCTAAGGCTGTTCTGTCTCTCTTTGTGTGGCTCCTCCTTCAGAGGCACTTCAACAAGTCAGACCTCTGAATCAGAATGTGGAACCCAGCAAACGATTAGCACGCCTTCAGAACAAGTAGATATAGATAGATTTATATATATAGAGTTTTATATTCAGCTCGAAACTTTAAAAGAGTACAGTAAACACTTCTCACACATGATAGAAAACTACTCCACGTCTCAGAATCAGAGTGCAGGTCAAACGTTGTGAGGAACAAACCCAACCCAAAGCAAAAGGAAGAAAGAAAGTGAAAAGAAGTCATCAAATAAAACATATCCTGCCCACAATCTTTTCTTACAAATTTCCAAGTAGATCGGAATAGAGACACCTGACCGCACGAACAGAATAGAAAAGTCTAAAACAGTGGTATTGCATTTTGAAATGCACAAAGATTCTCCTGTACAATTCTGGCGTCTCTCTGCGAGTACAAACGCCTAAAGGGCTCAGTGGCGGGGGTGTCTGGGTGGCTCTGGCTTTGATTTGTCTCTCAGTACACTTATGTAGTCTTCATCTGGTTTTTGTTCCTCCTCTAAAGATGTATACATCAGTACTGTAAACAGGCACTCGCAGATTGGAAAAGGGTCGGAGAGATCGGTGTCCGCTTTGATCCCTTCCGTCACCGCTGTCCTTCCTCCTCCTCTGTCAGTTTCTCAGTCCCGCTGAGACAATGGGGTCCTCCCGGTAAGGCTTATCCGTCTACCTGCCTGCACCCATCCATCACCCCCCCTCCCCTCCCACAACACACACTTGGTCGGACTGTCTCCTAATCCCGAGAGTGGGGTGTCCTCCGAAGCTCCAAAGAAATTCCATTGAGGGGGTTGCTTCCTCATTCTGTGTGTAGTTATAAATTCTTGCCGGGTGAGGAGGGATGAGGGCGGGAGGGCAAATGGGTTGAAAAACATGATGCTCTTTTTATATATACTTATATATATATATATATATATATATAGCCTTGGTCATCGGGGGAGTGATTGTGCAAATTCACGCTGTCTCCGGTACGTCCACGCGGAAGGAGCTAGCAAACCCTTTTCCTCGCTGCAAGAAGCAGAGAGAGACACAGAGGGTGGTTAGCTGTGTGAGAGTGTGGCTTCTTTAAAAACAATGAAACAGAACATTTGCAGTAACATTCTGGAAAACATGCTGGAAGTAAATTTGCTGTTGTTTTGTTGAAATGAGCATCAGCAGAGGTTCATGTTAGTCTGAGAAGACAGCAGCAGCCTTTAAACGGCCTCATTCACACATCATTCTGTCTGTGAAATGGCTCATGGATAATGTGTGTGTGACTATGGGGGGGGGG